AGTGTATATATTTATATACGTATATGGACTATCATTGTACATACTAATGTCATCTCTAACTGTATTTGTATTGTTGCTGTGTTTATATATTATTGTATATTGGCAGGAATTAGAAAAATGTGCTGCAGATGACTTAATTAGTTGAGGATAATGATATAATTTTGTCTGTTATTGAGCGCTGATGGGCTTGTAAGGAGGGCAGTGGTCATTGTGCTGAACCACAGGTTCCACCAAAAGTTAGATTATTGATGGACTGTTGGACTTGCTAATATTTTCATCTGGATCATCCTTTAAACTTGATGGTAATAGTAAACATCGCGTCAACATTTATCAGGTTTTATTTAGTTGTTGCGACTTCTGTTGGGACATCTGAGCCAGACAATAGTTCATCAATTGTACATAAAACTGCTGCAGCCTGGCCTTCCCTCTCTCTGTGTTGTGTGCTGAACTTGATACAGTACCTGAACACAGGTGTACCACACCTACTATATTGCAAAACTGGGTTAGGTGGGAAAATGTACAGTAACAGCTCATTCTTCAGATTGATCTCAGGATGCAGGTGTTGTCAGATCTCCATAACCACAGCGGCCAGCTTGGAGTAGACTGCACTCTTGACTCCATGAGATACAGGTTCTACTGGCTTAGAACGAGGTCAGAGGTGGAAAATGATGAGATGACCTGTGGGTGGTGCATACAGTGAAATATTTGAGGTACATCAGGGTGTTTTTTCCTTTATTGCACTCAAGTGAAGCAGCCGTTTATTTCGGTGTGATTTCAAAAATAAATAAAATAACATTATACTGTCCCAGTCTTTCCTGTCTTCCCCCATTGTCCAAGTCTTTAGTATTTCCCCTGTTTTCCAAATGGTTGCATTGCTCAATGAGCTGATTGAGTATACTGTTACCTGTTAACCCCTCTGTTGTGTGTTTGAATCCTACCTCCTCTGCTTTTGTATTTTATTCCATAGTGTTTCCTTTGTATCAGTTTTCTAATTCCTGTGTTTTGATTTGTATTCGGTTTTTGCTTTTGTGCCCGTGATTGTGTTTTTACCCGTCTGTTATTCCCCTGTGTTGTATTCAGTTTCCCTGTTTCTGTTAGTTCCTTAGGTTCCCTGTTTGATTCCTTAGTTCTGAGTTAATTATTAGTTTCACCTCATGTCTGTTTTGCTGTGCCAGTCCTTAGTGTTCTTAGTGTGTTCAGTTTTGTTTAATAAACCCCCGTGTTTCTGTGAGCCGCCAGTGGGTCGTCCACATTCTGAAGGTGAATAATAGGTTACTTTCATTTTTATTTTAATATTTAGTTTTATTCACATGAATCGTTATTTCAAGCGGTGTAGGAGAAATGAGAAAGTTTAACATCGGTTGAAAAAAATTTGGCCTTGCTTCTTGCTCTAAAATTATGAGTCCGAATCATAGATTCCAGTCTGAGGCTGAGACCGAGCAAATGAAAAAGTGGTCTCGAGACCAAGACCAGACTGGAATACAGCAATACCTTTACAGAGATACGCACATCTTGTGGTTAGGATGAGAACCCAGGATGCTGCCCTTTTTATTTACTTAGGTTAATGGTGGTTACACGATGGTGGTTCCATGATTAGTTATGTATTACTTAACTGGGGTGGTTTTCTAGAAAGGTTCGTAATGCTAAGTAATTCGTTATCTCGTACTTTTGTCAATGAGCATGTGTTTCCAGAAACCCTTCGTAACTAAGTAGTTCATTATCTCGTTCATAGATTTATGAGTGCTCCGACCCACTCGTTATTTTCTACGTCATTCTTTATTTGAACTTTTGCTTGCTGTCCTGTCACAGAGACACAGAGATTGGCCAGAATAGATGACAAAAACACATTGACTCTCTCTCTTGGACAACATAATAATGCAAGAGGTCAATATCGCAATATAAAACTAATGTTGACTATAAATTAACGAAATGGGGCTCGTTGTTGTAACACCTGTATATAATTCAAATAGCCTACATAACATGGTTGTGCACCATTCAGAATTGACTTGAGAATGACCTGGAAAATCAAATTCAATTCATAAATCGGTTGAAAACACGGTGCAGAATCGCAATTCGACTTTGAATATAGGGAAGTTGAATCAAAATGGGATTGATGTCACATAAATTCATATGCAAAGTGTAAGTGCAGCTTTAAAAATACAGTTTAATATTTCAATATGAATTACACAGAATGTTAACATAAACGGCATACACTAAGTCCCGCCCCTACCCCCCACACATTCACGAAATGCACCCGTTGGCCGTGCCCCCTGTTTGAACACCTGCCTGAAAAGTCTGTGCAGTTATTCATAATGAATGTCACATTTGAAGTGTCACCTATAGAATAAATGGATTTTGTGTACCATGGTGAAAGTGTGCTTCATACAGTCATACAAGTAACCCTATCACAGCCCTATCCATCTGACAACCCATGGACACTGACAGGAAACGCAATTGCAGACTCCTCACAAATGGTAACACACATAAGCAGTTAAATATGCAAAATTAATAAATATATGCCCATGGAAAAGGAGGGCTGACATAACCCAAATGCATATTGTTGGAGAAGGCTTAAACAATTACACAATTTTTATCTTACAGTCATGCAACTATAAAGTTACTCACTAGTACATATATATGGTCAATATATACATCTACCATCTTGGAAGTAAACTGCTATGTAATTATTCATGTTTAGATTAAATGGCGTTCATGTGTTGCATGATTACATTGAAATGAAATTAATTAAATTCTTCTTAAAGTCCAATTCAACATCTTACAGGGTGTAGCCAAGTCAATTCAAAATCCATCCATCCATCCGTTATCTATACCGCTGTATCCATCTGGGTCGCGGGGAAGCTGGAACCAATCCCAGCATCATCGGGCGAGAGGCAGGGTACACCCTGGGCAGGCCGCCAGTCCACCACAGGGCCAACACAGACAACACACACTCGCATTCATACCTACGGGCAATGTAGAGTAGCCAATCGACCTAATCTGCATGTCTTTGGACTGTGGGAGGAAACCGGAGCACCCGGAGGAAACCCACGCATGCACGGGGAGAACATGCCAACTCCACACAGAAAGGCACCCTAAGCGACCCAGGGATTGAACCCAGGACCTTCTTGCCACCCCTCATGACCAGCAATGCAGAGAATTGTGCAAGTCAATAGAAGACAGCGATTGAGAGAGTGCCATCTAGGAAGCCAAATTGCTTTTGCGGGTGGGTATGAACCCCTTGGACCATCTCAGTAATGAACAATTCATAGAGAAATACAGGCTGGCCTGTGGTGAAAATAATGAGCTTCCTTGGTCTGGTGCAGGATAAATTGAAAAGAGGAACACCAGAATTTTGCCCACCGTGTAGCTTCTGACAGCTTTCAATGGTGGATTTCTGCAGACCTACATATCTGCATGGCCTCAGCAAGGCTCCTGTGTCCTGCATCTGTGCATGCATTGATCACATTTCTGTTGCACTGTACGCACAACTACATACAATGTCCATCAGGGTGGGATGCCTTACATGACACTAAAAGTTGTTTTCATGCCATTGCAGGCATGCCTGGCATTGTAGGTGCAGTGGATGGTACTCTCAACTCTATTCATATTTGCAGCCCTTTGAATCCCACTTCCACCAGTCGAAAAGGGTTATTGGCACTAGGCCTAAATGTCCAGGTCATATGCAACCATCAAATACATGTTACAGACATTGTCGCCAAGTGGCCTAGGACTACACATGATGCTTATATCTGGTCCAGCTTTGGAGTGTGTCAGATAGCAAAGGATGGTGTGTTTGCTGGTGGCTGATTTTTGGGAGACAACAGGCATCCTCTTAGCTAATAGCTGCTGATTACAGTATTGAATCCCCAAACTGTGGCTAAGGAGATGAATAACACCACACACCAAAGAACATACACTGCTGTAGAGGGAGCTTTGGGCATATGGAAGATGTGATTCTGGTGCTTACACAAGCCCTTGGGAGCTCTAAAGTTTCCCCCATAATGATGCTGTACTGTTCTTGTTATGTGTCATACAGTATAGCATTAGTGATTTTTTTTATGTTAAGTCAAAACAGTCAATATATAAAGATTATAGGGCAACCCACTAGAGTGTAGAAGAACCTAAGAGGGGAAGAGAAAGTTAAAACTGAAAAAAACTAGCTATTAAACTTATTCATAGAAGTTTGTAATGCCATAAGCATTTTCCTGGATGCATGTTACACAAATGTGAAAATTTCTGCAAAAGCCCACCCTCACAACCTTGCACGATATTGTTTGCATTGTGTGTCTTTTTCACTTTATTTTGCATTTGCACTGTTTGTTAGTATCTGTACACTTCATCTTCCTTTGCAGCTGTATTAATCTTTCTAATTAGTTATGACATTAAAAGGCTTTTCCTGACCTCTGTGTCAAGAGCACAGAGGCTTCATGCGGAGGATTTTTTCAATTGGAGAGTTTCTGCAGGAAGTCATTTAGCTTCTCGATCAAATCGTTACGTTGGATTTTACTCAACCCCTCCTTGGTGGCCGTGATAGAGCCCTCCACTCCCCACCTCTCTACCATGAAGTTCCTCAGGTCTGGGCGGTCAGCTCCATGCAGCCTGCTTTTAGGGATGCCCTTATGGCCTGCAGGGGCCGGCATGCGCATCTTCAGATTCTTCATCTCTTCATCTGTCAGCTCCTCCAATACATCTAATAGATAATCTTTCCAATCTATCTGTGAGATGTGGCAATTTTCTGGAGGAAAAAAATTGAGGTAAAGAGCTGGAAAAGGTAAGGAAACAAACCTCAAAAGCATGAAACAATTTTTTTTGCTTGTATCGAGGTTTGAGACCAATAGCAATGGAAAATAACATGGGTATTGATGTCAAGCCACAACTCAAAGAATCTCCCAGGTATGATAACATTTACTGTATATGTTCCCAGTGTAACCTGTTTGAGCCAAAGATGACAAGCTGGGTTATGGATGGGCTGCCATAAAGGAATCAGACATACCAGGAACATTTCATTTCACAAACCTCAACACTCACTGATGGCAGTAAAAGGGCAAAGTCATCAAAGAACTCATCGAAGTGTATCATGGTACAGCAAAAATAGGACTGATGGACACCAGAGCTATAGAATGATGTCAAAGACAGTCACCAACAAAATACTATATGAATATAGAGAGCAAAAGTGGGATATCGTCAAACTAGAACACTGTGCTAGGCCTTTAGGCCGGCCTTGTGATTAATGTTTTACTGTCCCAATATGGCCTGCTGAAGGTAATATAAGTTATTGCTATAAGACCAAAATCTGAATATACAGTGCTATGTAAAATTTGGGCACCCCTCTGAGGTTGAATGCAACCAACCATGAAAAAGGTTAACATAGGTAATTGCTAGTTGTGCTTGGCCTTGGTTCTGTCTTAGTGGCAACATGGGAACCTCTAAAGATCTCTCTACTGACTTAAAACCTAAGATAATTTGTTGTTATGAATTAGGAGGAGGGTACAAAAAATTATCACAAAGGTTTGGACTGTCTGTCTCCACAGTCAGACAAGTAGTTACAGTAGGAGATGGAAGGCCAGAAGAACAGTCCTTGTGAAGTAAAGATTTGGTAGAAAAATATCTGAAAGACTCAGGCGAAGGTTGGTTAGAATGGTTACAGACAAACCACAGACCACCTCCTGAGAGCTACATCAATATCTGACTGCTTATGGTGTCATTGTATGTCGTTCCACAGTCCAGCACACTTTGTACCGGGAACAGCTTGGTGAAAGGGTGATGTGCAAAAAGCCTTTTCTGTGTACTCACCACAAGAAGAGTCGCATGAGGTATGCAAAAGTGAATCTGCACAAGCCAGAAACATTTTAGAAAAAATGCTGGACAGATGAGACTAAGGTACAGTTATTTGGTCATAACCAGAGGCTCTATGCATGGTGAAAAAAACACAGCATTCCAGGAGAAGAACTCGCTGCCTACTGTAAAATTTGGTGGAGGATCCATCATAAGAACATAAGAACTATACAGACGAGAGGAGGCCATTCGGCCCATCGAGCTCGCTTGGGGAGAACTTAACTAATAGCTCAGAGTTGTTAAAATCTTATCTAGCTCTGATTT